CTTTCCAGATATGGAATCAGCATTAAATTTCAATTCGGAAAATGGAAGTTTTGAAAAAAGTTTAAATCAATTTCCAAAAGTAGGCAGTCACCTTAGCAACTCTTTTTTTCTCCTGTCGCTTCCTACGCAGATGCTTTTAGGGTCGTCACGGGGGAAGGGAAGCGGCACGTGCACGGGGTGACCCTAAAGACGTCTGCGTGTCAGATAGGTAGCCTTCGTCACATCCGGACTTTTTTGTCGGTTAAACGAAAAAAAGTCCAAATGTGACGCAGGCTATAATTGTTTTTCAATTGTTTTTAAGTCGAGGCATTTTGGTCAATACAATGAAATGTATAGAAACAAACCCATATGCAACAACACGGTGTTTGTAAGCTCATTCTAGTTTCTCAGGGCAAGACAATTGTTTACAAGAATGATCTTTTTACTCAAAGACTAACTCTGCTCTTAGCCCCTTCCTGGCAAATGTTCCTGACTATAGAGAGCATATCAGTGAAATTATACCAGGTGTGACTTTCACTTCCTTCCTTACTTGGCTTGAAAAGAACGTCTATATAAGCACTTATTAAGGACAGAGGACAGATCAATGTATACACAGAGATATAAGTAAGTGTGCGAAGATTTAAGGGATCGGACCATACGAGACAGTGTGACAACTGTTGGAAATACACAACTACTGGTAACTATATTGACTAGWTCGGCCGTCTGCCGAAGTTGGCTGAAATAACTTCTGCGCGACTATTTAAGTCCGGGCATGGCTAACTCACAGATTGAACACTTAAACAACCTCTGGGCTGATCTAAGTCAGGGCATGGCTAGCTCACAGATTGACTGCCTGAAACCACCTCTGGGTCGATCAAAGTCAGCGCACGGTTAATTATTCGTGTTTAATGAAAGTAGTTAATACTGTAACATTACAGCTTCATTCTCATAAAATACGCATAGTATTTAATATTATTGATCGATTCGAACTAAGGTGGTATTTCGTGTACTATATTCTATTCGGATGCTTCTTGTTAATGACCACCAAAGCGTGTCATATATTTTGAGTTGAGTCTCGTAATTTTCATTGTTGTCAGCCTGTCAACGACTCTCACGCCTTTTATAGGGCCCCTTGCATTAATGTTTTAGAGGAATTATTCTGGGGGACAAAAAAAATAGGTCGACGTTTCTAATGGAGAAAAAAAAATCAATTTATACGAGCTGTTAAGTGTGACGTAATTCGAAAGAACACCGACTTAAGGGTCCAAATTAATATTTTTATAATTACTTCTACAAACATTTTTCCGTGTTTATTCTTCATAGGGTTTTCTGTTCTTATATCTATTGAATTGTTGAAGGTAGAGAATAAGTCCTGGAAATAAGATGTCAGAAAGGTTTTAGCGATCTTTTGTGTGATTGGACCCGGACATACGTCACAACTTCAAAACCCTGGTTGACAATGTGATGACGCAATTGATCGTCAATAAGAGGACAAACACATAAGAACATGATGTTTATTTGTCAAATCGTTGTTATTTGTATCGTCATTATCACCAACATATTCGCCACCAGCACCACCATCATTGTTTTTCAATCTCATCGCATCACGTTGAAGGGAATCTTTTCAATAATTCCAGTTTGTTCTTGTTTTTATTTAGTATCAAGGAAAGATGCCTAACCTGAAGTATGCAATCGTTTGGTTGGTCTTTATACTGGCGCATATGGATCTGGAACTCATCCAGTGTTCTTCCATTCAATTTGAAGTATTAAGGTGTCCATTAGCACGTCCTCGTGGCAAATGTCCAGAAAAAAAAGGATTATTCTTGCAAGGAGGATAAGGATTGCGAAGCACATTTTCCCGGTAAGGGATTGAAATGCTGTATGGATTGTATTGGCGGAAATAGAGGTTGTGTGACTCCTGTACGTRTTGYTTCGGGYGTAGAAGTAATCCCGTTAAAAGTATTAAASCAAATGAAGCTTCTCAACAAACTAGTTGCAGAGTGCCCCACCAGCCCTCCCTCGTGGCMGAATCCTTCGGGACCAGACCAAGAATGCCAAGACGATGCCAGTTGTGATGCGAAATTCCCTGGACAAGGCCTGAAATGMTGTAGTGATGGGAACGATTTTAGGTGCATTCCTCCTGTCATCGAGCACGAGTTTGTTGAAGGACCAGCGTTTTGCCCCATACCTCCTCCTTCAAGACCAGRAGAATGCAATAAATACTTTGAAGACAGATGCCTCSASCACCTTTAYTYTTCAATGCATCCTGGATCGATTGAATCGGTACTGTGTTGCATCACAAAGTGTGGCAACTGGGTGTGGATGATAGACCAATCTCTTGTAAAGGTGCCGCCCACTCCACCATCTCTACGCAATGGTACCTGCCCAATCATCTCTCCACCTAAAGAATGTCAAGCACCACCAAATCCTTATAAAGCATGTAAAGTAGACCAGGATTGCCACAGAAAGTTGAACTATTTATTTGAACAAAAGAATATGAATAGATTAGTACTGAAATGCTGTAATGATGGATGTGGTCATCGCAGATGCATCCCACCTATAATAMAATGAATGTCTATTATTTTCAAATCATGAATGTAGAATGCTAGACCGACTACTATTTCAAACTGGGGTTTTGATATCAATACCGTAAAAATGGAAAAACAACTCGAAATGTTTGCTTGGAATCAATACTAATTCTTCGTTTGCAACCACGTGGTTATTGCTGGTGCCAGGATATTTTTCGATTCCAATCAAAAAACAATCCTAATGACCATGCAGAGCCACCAATAATATAACTTTGAGCTAAAAATTGGAGCATTAGAGCCTTTCTGAAACGAGCTATGGTCGAATGAAGTTTCCGATTTTATAGTGTAAATATATGGCGAAAACTCGCTGGTGGACTAATTTGGTCCACCAGCAATGGAGGCCAAATTTAGAAAAATATTTCACGCGCAGGCAACAATATCCAACTCACTTTAGACATACATAAATCGAACTTAAGACATTTAAAACAATAAAAATATTTCATTTAGCGATTTCTTTTTCATTTTTATGACTTTTCAGACCCGTAAGAAGTGTAAGGTCAGAATTACATGAAGAAAATCAAATTTGCACAACTAGGAAAGAAAACGATGAAAAGATCTGAAATTTTGTACACTTAGTCACATCATAGTTCTCTAAAACATATCRAAGAATCGAATTTATAGCAYTCATAATTAATTTTAAGTTGTTATTTTHTTGCTCTATGACGTCACGTGCAAACGAAGAATAAAGAGTAATTAAAAACACCTATTTGAAAAGTTGTCTGAATCAGGGGTATGAGATTTGGTTTACTTACATCAARTGAGGGGCGGGCAATGGCTTTACGTTTGAGAAGAAAGGAGAGGACGCCTTCAAGTATCTTTTCCTTAAAATGAAAATCTTCAGYTCAACCTAGGAGGGAGAAGTCATGTCCAATACTGTCGAACTGATACGGATCGTCAGTGTGGCTCACGATCCGTACGATTCGTGAAAGTCATTGATATTCATAAAACATGCATATCATTATTTGTGTGCACTCATAACCTTTCAGGGTAACCCTGTGTGAAGTACTATTGTCACCGTCTGTGTAAAATGGTTATGGACAACCTGTGGTAGTTCCAATGCTCCCATACCTGGGATCCCTCACCATTCGTACGAGCGTACGGATCGTACCATCCGTGAATCTAATTATCCATTCGTACGATTCGTGATCTCACGTCAAAATCACAACCAAATCCTATATGAATTACGCCGTTATCAAAAGCCAATAGATCCTAATAAACCACGCTAGAAAATCAAGTCAAAATCATAATAAAAACCTATAGGAATTACGCCGTTATCAAAAGCCAATAGATCCTAATAAACCACGCTAGAAAATCAAGTCAAAATCATAATAAAAACCTATAGGAATTGCGCCGTTATCAAAAGACAATGGATCGTAATAAACCACGCTAGAAAATCAAGTCAAAATCATAATAAAAACCTATAGGAATTGCGCCGTTATCAAAAGACAATAGATCCTAATAAAC